GTAATTGATTGTAGGGAAAATAGTGTTTAGTTTGTTTTTTTTTTGGGGGGGGGGGTTGAACTTGCTGAGGTTATGAGCAAAAGGTGCGAGTTTGTGAAAACGGCAGTGAACCTACGTGTTCTATGAAATCAGGGGATTCCTTGAGCAGGTGAATGACTATAAACTTTCAAGGAAGGCCGTATAACATGGAGTATGCTGACTATGTAACTTCTAACGCCACACACTCCTATCTGTACTTAACTGCATGATGAAGTAATAGAGAGCTGTCTGCCTTAACAGGGGTCGGAAGGTTAAGAAGAAAGTGAGGGGAGTGACCTATCTGTAGCAGACGAAGATTTCTATTTTGTGTTTACACGTTACCGCAGCGAACTGTACTGTATGCGTTAAGGGGGGGGGAGCTGGAGACTCGTTTCCTGCTAAAAATCGTAGCTGCCTTTAAAAGCTTCTTAGTTCAACAATGTACATTAGGCGAACCAGAAGAAGACAGGCCTGGACCATCCGGCAGTGACATGGCAGATGTTCTGGAATGGTCTGACATGCCATGGCAATTACAGTTTCACGCATGCGTGAGCCTGGTATTTCTGAATGAAAATAATTCGTCTACGAAGTGTCAGTACGTCCTCATTCTCTTCAGCTTGATTTATTTGTTTAGTACATTTTCAAAGTTTACATTTTTTGTTGTTGACTTCGTGAATTTGTGCAGTATTTATAGTTGCCATTGTTGTCAAGTACGATGGCGAAGTTGGTATGCGTGGTGATGTTCGTAACGATCTATTAGTGCAGAAGCCTTGAAATAAAGTAACGGTTTCCAGACGTTTTTGCCGCGATCTCCGAAAAGCGAAGCGTTAGTTCGCCCTGGAAAGGAACAAACAGTTGAGTTCACCGAGTCTGTGCCTTCATTATGCTCTCTTGTCAGTAATTTCATGTTCAGCTAGCAGCCTGCGCAGGTGGTTCTAACGTGTATACCAGCGGACGAGGGTAATTTTTTCTCCATCCGTTACACGACAACACTGCAATGTGCTCCTACCCCCGTCACAGGTCGCTGTTGTGTTTGCCATACAGCAGAAGGCGTAGAGCTATCGCATCATATGAAAGAGCGGTATGACCCATTAGCAACGTGTAAGCAACAAGACAGAAATGGTGTAGCTGTGTGGGAGAAGACGAGAATTCATTCATATATCTTGAGTGAAAATTCTGGACTTGCTGAACCATTGAAAGTTCCCAGTCTATTATTCCTGTTCTGATACTGCAGATTAACACAAAATACAAGAAGAGGAAGAGGAGGAAGAAGAGGACAAAGAAGAAGAAAGCTTTCCCTGTGCCAGGCCGTGGAGGCCCATAGGGTTGTGAGACATCGAGGTTCCCTCATTTTCAAGGCAGTCGGCTCACAGGTGGCGGTGAAGTTGTCAGCCTACGCGCCGGCTGCCGTTTACCTCCAGGAAGATTCCTGGTACTCATTTCTGTTAGAGACTGAGTCGACTCTAGGGAAATATTGCGGCTGGAAGGATTGGGTCAGTTGAAAAATCCAGTGACGTCATTGGGGATTGAACCCAAAAGCTTCCGGCCTGTAGCGTAGTTCCTCATCCAGCTACGCTATCGTGTGCTCCACCAGAGCAAAACGTGGCCTGTCAAGTCTGAGGAAAGGACACATTGAAGTTACCGATATTTGAAAACAATTAGAAGGACAATATTGGGGCGGAGATTAAACGTTATGTAAGGGAAAATTGCCCGCTTGCGTAAGCGCCACATCACAGATGCATAAGGGGCACAAGATATTTCTATATATTTATTACAGTGGAACAACAGGCAGTCAGGATGTCGGTTTACAAAAAAGCGTATACTGCTGCTTCCGTTTTGGGGACATTTGATAATGACTGTTGCCTGGTTGTAAGTAGCGTTCAGATTGTCGTAAATTCTCCGTTACAGTTTTCGGTTATTGCGAATAGGTTTCTTACTTGTCACATTTGATTCCTCTATTTATATCTACTTCATGGACATCGTGAATGCAATATAGATGGAGATGAGTGTCAGTTACACGCCCCGGACGCGTTACCCTTGGAGTAAAGCTTGGGATAGGGCTCCCATTCTCCATTTGAGAGGAGCTGAGTGGGACCAGAGCCGTTGTTGGGTAAATCGTTGCTAGCACGTGCCAGCAGTGATTCTTGGTTCTTGGTTGCCCATCCGGCGGGACTAATGGCCATATTTGTCTGTCTCACTGCCCTGCGAGTCGTGCAACCTCATCCACTCCAGAGAGCCTGTGGGTGCAGCAATTCATATAAACGTCCAAAAGCGCTCACACGGATTTGACCTCAAGCACGAGTAATAGACCGGATGTCGGTGAAAGGAAGTGTATCCGAAATACGCACAGAAAAACCCCTGTGGAAAGTGGCACTTCGGTTGACTTAAGACGGATGGGTGGGTAATACTGAAGCCCATAATAGGGAAGTGGAGAGAGGTATGTGAAATTTGAGTTTCTCGCGTCTGTGATTGTCAATATTAACAGTCTTCTAGATCTGATATCGCGTATTTTGGTAGATGGGTTCTGAAACGAACTGAAACAGGATAGACCGGACTTGTAGCATGCATGGTGCAACAATAAATGAAGATACTGGATTGGGAAATTTTATGTGAAAATTAATCTTAGACTTGGAGTGTGTCATGCTGAAGTCCTAATGGAGTGGGGTGGTTGTGATGGCAGTGGCAGGCACGCAGTTTTAGGGTCGTCTCTGAGTACAAAGAAGTACGCACTTTGTATTCAAAATAGTTTCTGATGAAGTGCAACAAAAAATTCCAACAGTGTTAACATTCATATACATCTTTATCCCAGTCCGATGTATAGTCTGCATCATAGCTTTTAAGACAACGGCTGTCCACCCTTCCTGATCCACAAGCAGCATTGGGTGGGCGTTCTGAGGACTTATAACCCATCTGCCACACGTTGTACAGTACAAACTATAGCTTACAATTGTAATTAATATTGGAAAAGTTAATATTATTCTTGTACAACAAAATAATTCATTTATATAATTTTCTTTTTCAGTCAAAGGGATACCATAATCACTGAAATTTAAGATTCATAATTAAAATTATATTGGAGGGCTTATGAAATAGTGTAAGTTGCCTGGTACCGCCTGTTTTCAGGCTGGTATATGCTGGAAAGAAAAGTAACTAATTAGCTTACCTCAGTGAAACCTTTGTGCAAAATAGAATTAATATTCAACACAAACTTGGTTACTAAAGGGGAAAAAAAAGTGAAAAGTATCTCGAGTTTCAAAGTAATAGTTTTTCTAGCAGCAGTGAAGTATATGAGTATAATATGTAAAACAAGGCTGTGTTAATTTTGTGGACTGGCATATATGAAGTCACAGACTGCTGATTGTCCAAGTGTCCATGTGTTGTGTTGCAGCTGAGGTGGATGGGTATGGGGCTTACAAACCTGTACCACCCCCGAAGCCCTTGTCATCGTGTATCTCCATTACCTGCTACTCACCACCGCCCTACAGGATGCCGCCCTATCCACTATACGGAGAAACCGCCATTCCTGGTACTGCAGCCTCAGAGCCTCCAGCCTCCAGCAACACATCAGGACTGCACACACACTCCAGCAAGTTTCCGGTGAGTTGCAGTTACTCTGTGGTAGCCTAAATCCAACCCATTTTGCAGTAACATATTTGTACATAATTATAAGGCTTATTTTGGACCCTGTCCATCGTTTGGTATATATAAGACAAAAAACCACAATGTTTCGGAGACTGGATCTGTCTCTGCCCTCAGGTGAATGGGGCAGGTAGTTTCCTAAAAGAAGGGTATATCCCAGGTCCATACCGGTTACACAAGTAGACTTGAAAGAATTCTGCTGTACAGAACTGTAAGGCTTATTTTGGACTCTATCCATCGTCTTGTAAATATAAGACAAAAGACCACAACGTTTCAGAGACTGGATCTGTCTCCATCCTCAGGTGGATGGGACAGCATACACCATCATCACAATCCTTTCAAGAAACATATTTGCTTAAGGATAATTTTTTAAGTTATTCAAAATCTCTGTTTCAGACTTCAAGTTGCCTTCCAAAGTCTTTCATATAGTTGCACCAACAATACTAGCTGTCATTTAGGAAGTTGGCTGAAGCTGTAATGCTTCTGACTTTCATTTTGGAGTTACCCTGTTCAAATCATGGCTGGACACTGACTTCCTTGACTGAGATCTTTCATAGTTCAGAAAGTACAATAAATTTCGTATTCCTTCAATCATTTAAAATTCATTATTCACCATTATTCAGTCATTTGATGCTGTATAGTCTGTGTGACAGCATAATTAAAATGCAATCTTGTGGTTTTGGTCTTGGTGTGCATTTTCTTCAGATACAGCTGTCACTGCAAAGCCACTCACACTGCAGACATCACACTGCATGGAGTAAGAAACTGCTTTTTACTGTATTTCATTAAATATTCTCTGTATCAGAAACATTTGAAGTAAAAGTTGTAATTTTGTATTTTATGTCATGTATAGCCTACCCATTTTTGTGCCAATAGCCACTTTATGTAAATTGATGTTTTTATGATTGATAAATGGCAAAATCAGTTTAGTGCTGTTCTGAACCATTTTAGTATTATCCTCTCATCTACACCTAAATCTTCTAAGTGGTCTCATCTCCTGAGATTTCTGAGCCAACATTTTATAAGAATGTATCACTCTCGTATGTGCTACATTCCCTGAATATCACACCCTCATTCACTTAATATTAATTTTCACCATCCTCCTGTTATGTCCTCCTCCTTAGTACGTTGTTCTCAAACACTTTCAATCTATGTTCTCTCCCTAGAATGCGGGACCACGTTTCACACATAGACAAAGCAACAGGTAAAGTTATGAAGATGGAACTCTTCATAACCATTGATGTGAGAATCTCAGATCCTACACAATTAAAATTATGACTGTGTTCAGCAGTTTTTTTACTAACAAAGTGATTTCCAGTGCTCTTGTGCTCTGTTTTAGCCTCAAGGTCAAAACGTACACTGCATTGGCATATGCGCAATTTCTGGCTTAAATGAGATTGCTAGTATGTGTATTGGAAAGTACCAGCTGAAACAAGCCCTGGATATACATATTTTAATGTGTAGGTTTTTAGAGAGGAGGCTGAAATGTACAAATTTTTTAGCTGATCGGTAGCAAGTATTCCCCAATTTAAATAAAAAAGAACTCTTTGGATTTAGTGAGCAAGCAAGTGGCCGCCGCTTGTCGGTGAAGTTAGTGCCAAATTTAGCTGATAGAGGGTGTCGTGTAGTCAGCGCAACGAATCTCCACGGCCGTTTATTTTGGTCATTCAAGTAGCTGCTCAATTATCCTAATGAGGCTGAGTGGACCCTGTTCCAGACCCACTACTTCTCAGAAAATCTGGTAGCGCCGGGAATCGAACCCGGGACCTCTGGACTGTATCCAGGAACTCTGACCACTAGACCACAAAGGTGGTCTGTCCCAAGTTATAAGCATAAGAAAATTGAATACATTTTATTTATGGTTCATTTAACAATACTTTCAGTAGCTCAAATAATTTGGTGTCATATGGTGGTAGGATGAATTACTCAATTGAAAATGACGTGGAAAGCAGTGGCTGTGACCTAATTTGAGGCAGTATCATAAAGTTTGTCTGGAAGGGCTGAGGAAAGCACAAAAAATCAGCTAGGATAGCCTGTCTCCAGGCTGGTAGCTCCTGGTGAAGCAGGAGTACTACTTTATTCAACAGAAACCTTCAGTGAAACAGGATAATAAATACGGGAACATATCTTTCACACAAAGTGTAAAGCCCTACATATACCTTCATTGTATGTAATCAGTATAGCGATGGACTACATGCTGGATGGCTGAGGAATTGGGGTTCAACCCCCAGCAAGAGAATGGGTTTTTTTTCTGTTCTCTATGGAACCCAGGCAATTTCTGAGTCCCACTTAGGTCCCTATCAAATGGATACCAGGGGGCTCTTTTCTTGGGGGTAAAGCAGCCAGGTCGTGAAGCTTCACTTCTCCATATGTCTTAATGGCATGGTACTCAATTAAGTGCAGCGAAAACTTTGCCATTTACTTTTACCTTCATCATATAAATTTCCATGAAAATATGAAATTTAGTGACAGCCATCAAGCAACATAAACACTACTTACCTCTCAAAATGAGATTTTTAGCCATTATATTCTAAAGTGGGCGTTCTTTCATTCGGTCAAGGAGATAATATTCCACCACACTTAAGATAATTCCATTTTCATTTAAAGTTCCTTAACTTTCTCTGTTTCCTTGATATAACATGTGAAGATTAGTTTGATTTTGATATGAATGTGATGGCTACTCATAACAGAGTTCCAGCTGTTCAAGAGATAATGTGCATTGTGGAGTTTGTCATTCATTTACTGTTTAGTCTGGTAATACCTTAAATTTTTCACTTTCCAACGGCATTGGCCCCTAAAAAGGGCTGCTTTTTTACAGTTCTGTATTCTTCCTGTAATGACATAAGAGCCATTTCCTCACGTTTGCACTTTCCTATGCCCCTGAAAAAAAAATGCTCTTTTCAATTTCCAATTGACTAGGCTATGCTGTATCCTCTGTCCCATTCCTGTGGGCCTCAGTGACCACTCTGTATCCAACATGCCTATATAACCTGACCACATCCTTGTCCTACTCACCTCAATCCTGAAGATGGAGGCAGCATGCTCCTCCAAAACTTTTGTGTCCATAAGTAAAACTGCATGATGTCACAACCCAAAAGACCAGAATCTGAACATACACTACTACAGAAACCTCAATCCTTATATCAGACTTAAGTAGTCAGAGTCTGTAGCACAGAAATTGTGTATGAAATGAATCACAAAATTATATAATTATCAGTTAACAGAGCCTGTTATCTTCACCATACACATTGAAATATTTGAAGAAATGTAGGTTGCTTATGTTCTTTCAGAAATTATTGTTGCAATGATTGTTCAGTGCAATTACAAATATGTTCTGTGACACTAATGGCAGAATCCAGATTCAGTTGTGAGCTCCTTCCTCTCTGTACTTTCACTTTGCATACTTTGATTACAATGATTTTTTATGCATGATTCAGAATTAACTCCAATAGGTTTTCCATTTTTTGTTCCCCTCTGAAACTGGATGTATTAAACAGTTTCTCAAAAATGTAACCATGAATTATACTGAGCTTATGGTATATTTTCATTTTTGCTTGTGGATGAAATACAAACCAATTACTTGACTAATTTACCGAAGTAGCCTTTAGTATATTATAAAGCACAGGTTCATTATCTGGGACATGAAAAGGGAAAGCCTCATTACCTTGCAGCTTGTGTTGTGGGAATGTTCTCACAGCATAATGACACTCAGAGAAGAAGAAATGAGCATGCTGTTGTGAATGTTAGTGTTTGTTTGGCTGTGTTGTGTTCTGTATAAATTGGACTTTGCCAGTAACACATTTCAGCTAACAGGTGCAACTAGATTTTAATGTGATAATTTCAGCTTCCAATAGACTTGATCAATAATTTCAGCTTTGTTTTTTCATTGGACTATGTAACTTAATTGTTTCATTCATAACAAGAGAATTGTGCCATTGTGGTTTTAAAATGAGATTAAGAAACAACTAAGAGTGAACTGCTCTTAGTTCATAAAGCTCTTTTAATTTAATAGCTATACTGCCAGGCATTTCGTTCTATGGACCAAGTTCCAGTACTAACAGGGTGATATTATTAATTGAAAAGGGAATAGTTTCTACTGAATATTTTGATTTTTCTAACTTTTACTATTATCAGATAAGTTTTGTCACAAGTGGATGATATAAGTAGTCAATAAATCCATTCACCAATTGAAACCCCAGCTCTAGTCACTCGTACACATCACAATATGTTTGTAGTTAACTCTGAATGAGGATGTCATTCCGTCCATCCAGAACCAGAGGATGCACCATATAATGATAACAATGGAGAGTTTTTCTCCTATATCTCTGATAAAAGTTCTTGATTTGTTTTTTGTGGATGTGTCTTGAATTTTTACAGCTGCAAGTATCTGAAGATGTCCTTGAGAGAAGAAAATAGAGGCAGTAGATAATGAGGAGATTTTTGTTGTTGTTATTCATCTGTTATTATTAGTTAAGTCAAGAAGTTTATCATGGGCAGAGTAGACAGGCAGACCAATCAGAACTGAGGTCCACTCTACCATTTCTCTCCTGCTTCCCATATAATCTGAAATTTCAGCTAGCTGATTGCTCTGCTTCCCATCTGCTTTCAAGCTGGAATCTTGCTCTGTTTATTCTTCAACCCTGAAGATGGAGGCAATGTGTTCCTTCAAAATTTCAGTTGACTTTCAGTGGACTATTCCAGAAGACAGTACTCTTAACATTGAGGTTAAGTTTCTTAGGTGTGATTTTGAGGGGCATGTGGTAGCATAGTTAGTTTAGGCACAATGCTACAAGCCTGAAGATCACGGGTTTGATTCCCAATGAGGTCATTGGATTTTTTCCACCTAATACTTCCAGCTGCACTATGGCCGTGGGGTTGACTGAGTCTCTATCAGAAATGAGTACCAGGGATCTTCCTGGGGGGTAATGGGTGGCAGGCACTTAAGCCTGACAACCTCACTGTCATGTTTGAGCTGATTGTCTAGAAAATGTGGGATCCTCTATGTCTCACAACCTTGTGGGCCTTCATGTCCTGTTATAGGGATAGCTTTGCCCTTTTTTCTTAGGTGTAATTCTGATTCTGAATGGGTGACACATACATATGTTTGCATCACAGGATCATGGATAATGATGATGATGATTATGATGATGATGGTGGTAATAAGATACTGCCATCATCATGGCAGTATGAATGAAAGTTGCAGATACGAATACACCTTCAGATGGAAACATTGTAAAGTAAAACAAGAAATATTTAAAAAATATATGTTTGAAATAAGGAAATGTGGGGATATTGCAGGAAGTGAAATTGTTCCAGTAGCTCTTTTCCCAACGGTGTGACAATACCTGATGGACATCATATGCCATATTGCAACACATCAGACACCAGTTTGAGGAGATTGTCCTATTACAAAGGTTGAAACTCAACAACCCAAGTTTTCCCTAATGACAGTAATGCAATAACAGTTATTCTACTACTGCTACTACTACTACTACTACTACTACTACTACTACTACTACTACTACTACTACTACTACTGTTGCTGCTGCTGCTGCTACTACTACTACTACTACTACTAGATGATAATAATAATAATAATAGTGGTAATGTTTTAACATGCAGAGTTTTTCTTGGAATGGTGATAATCTTGATCAAGAAATTCCCCACTTTTGTGGAAACAAATGGATCAGTACCATGTTCACAGAAGGGCACTATGCTACAAGCTGGAAGGTCGTGGGTTAATGTTCCGATTAGGTGGAATTTTCAGTTTACTTAATCCTTCCAGCCACACTATTGCCCTGCGGTCAACTCAGCCTCTAACAGAAATGAACACCAGGAATCTCCCCAGGGGTTAAAGGGTGGCTGGAATGTGAGATTGAGGACTTCACCGCCATCTGTGAGCCAGTTGTCTAAAGAAAATATGGGAGCCTTGATGTCTCACAATCCTATGGGTCTTCACAGCCTATTACAGAGATGGCTTTACCTATTTTTTTTTTTTGCCATATTCATGGAATCCAACCATTAAGGCTTATTCATATGCCAGTTCAAAGCAGTCCACACTCCCACACCATATTTCTTGTTAGATCTGTTTTAAATATATCCTTGTCTGTGCTTTATACCAAGGTCACCAATGTGTTGTCTTGATGTTTCTTTGGACAAAATTTTGTATCAATGTCTTGTTTCCTTCATGCATATTATATGTCATTCCCATCTTATCTTTCTAGGTGTAGCAACCCTAAATATATTAGCTGAGTAGTACAAATTATGAAGGACCTCTTTATGTAATTTTTCCCATCCTCTTATAACATACTTTTAGGTACAAATATTGTATTAGTAGCAGTCATGGTTGTAGCAGTTTCCTTGTTTGTTTGCATTATTATACTGCTGATGCAGATTGAACGAGAAGTGATCCTGAGCAGTGCAGATAAGAACTCAAAGATTCCAATACTACACGAGTATAAGAAGCAGCGCCCGAAATCTGCATCAGCGGCAGCCATTGCTCCTGAGGGCCCTAACAAGCAGTTGGCCTGGACAGAAGACAAGAGAACTCCTGCCACCACCTCAGTGAGTACTCAATATATTTTAGTTATTTTATTTGTAACCTAGAAGCAGGAGAATGAAGAAAATTTTGCAATGATAAACTTCTTCATTGTGAACTCTTCACCTAGCATTGTTTAGTGAATGAAGTCATGGAGGAGGGAGTGGTCAAGGCATGCATAATGGAAAAGGAATGAAGAAATGTCTGCAGGGTTGTTGTTTTTAAACTCTCAGAGGAAGAGACTACTTAGAAGAATAAAGATAATGTCACATGTNCTCAGCGAATTACTGGCCAGATTGGAGGACGTCAGACAGACCGACCAATGGGATTTGGATTGGAGATTGGATTTATTGACCATTTAAAGATTGTAGCTACAAGTAATGAATGAATGAATGAATGAATGTATGAGGGGTAGGCCTTCTTAGCCCTTGCACCGTGGCCTACAGTGGTCTGTTGTGCTTCCCCTTCTGATTATCCCCTCAGAAATCCCGTGCTTCGAATGAAGTGCAGGATTTTGTACGTGGGGGCGTCGAAATAGTCACTTGGTTCCATAAAGTATTGACCAAAGTGATGTAGTCTTAAATAAGCAAAGGCCTCACATTTACACAGGATATATGTGTGGCTGTTTCGTTTTCTTCTTGACACCTCTCACAAGTGGGACAATCACTTAGTCCCAGTTTGAACAGGTGTCCTTTGAGGTGACAGTGTCCTGTAAGTAGTCCTACCACCCATCTAACTACAAGTAACTATAACACTATCACTGACCTCCACACTTTAAAATCACTACAGTACATGCTAAATCTTCTCAGAATGATTTCACTAGTCATTCCCCTGTAATGGCTCTTAAAAATGGAGATTCTTCAGCTTCTGTGTTCATGTCATTACTGTCTGGCAAATATACCATAACTGAACTGCTCCTTAAATTGACTTACTCCCAGGCTGGCAGCCAGCTCACACCAAACTCATAGTCTTCTCTTCATAGACTGACTTACAATTGACTCCTGCTCAGCTGGCATCATCACTATATAACCCCTTGGCATGGACCGCAAAGAAAACACTGTTGCCAGCAGTTCCTCTATTGTTGCTCATGAACTCATTGTGGGAACTTGTCTGTTTTGTGGTTGCTACATAGTAATGGGTCTACACACTGCAGTAATATAAAAATGCATACTTTAGGAATAAGACATGAATTTGATTGAATTATCTCAGAGTAGGTTTCAGTGAGAGGCTTGTATGCTGCTGGCAATGAACTTTTGTAAGAATATGGAATTTCTAAATGTACACTAGTCAAGGAAGATCCTGTCCCATGGAATTAATTGGCTCCAGGAAGATTTCTGATACTCATTTCTCTTAGAGGCTGAGTCAAACCCAGGGCCATAGTGCTGCTGAAAGGATTAGGTCAATTGAAGAGTCCGATAACCTCATTGGGAATCAAAGCTGTGACCCTCTGACTTGTAGCATAGTGCCTCATCCAACTGAGTTAATTGTTTTATCAGTTAGTTATCTGTTAAATTCCTTAATTTTCTCATTATTCAGTTAATGAAAATTAAATGTGAAACAAAAAGAAAATGTCACAAATTAGGCAAGAAAGAGAAAGTGAAACAGCAACAGTCAATACTTGATAATCTCTCTTAATTAACAATTCCCTAATAAGACTATGAAGTATTACAAGGTTGGTCACTATTCGAACCACCTTCCATATAGTCCGCGTTGTGTCTTCTTCTACAGTAGCCCTACCCATCTGAAGATGGTGGATTCTGTCACTGCTGTGGATATGATCTGCATGTTAATAGTTTTATCAACTTGCCAATCCCCCCCCATCTTCATGGAATAGAGTGCTTACTGGAATATAAATGAGTATGGAAATAGTCAGTTGAGGATTTGCTGCAGAATGAGAGTGAGGTTCATATATGTAGCTTGGCCCAGGGGAGAATAGACAGGAAAGGGAAAGTGCTAGTTAATAGTTATCATAATGTTCCAGTGAAAGGCCTGATTGGCTTGCTTCATGTATTTAAATCTTTTTAAAACCTATTTTTTCCCTATTGTTGACTTTTAACAGTTTTGCTATATATACATCAGTGCTTAATCTTTAAGTATGTCTTGAAGGTGCAACTTCTAGCTGTGTTTGTTTACTACTGGTATGTTATGTCATCACTTTTTTATAAATGATACTTCTGTGACATGTTTTTACCTTATAAGGTCATCATCAGGTAGGTATTTTTATGTAATTTCTCTGCTGAATTGATTTTCCTAGCTGATTGTTCTAAAACTCGATTAAAACTAGTTTCAGTTATTGTTGAATTTTGTTAAACCATATTCTTTTTTCTTAGTTTAGTTTTTACTCTGTGCATCTGGCATTCTATGATTTCTTGGGTTCTTGGTACACCAGAAACATATTCCTGATATTTAAAATCCATGTTTACTTGCTTGTATTGCAATAATTGGAAGAGAGCCTCTAAAATGTATGTGCCAGGGCTCCAGACTGCCAAAATCTGGTAGTGATTGAAATTTTTAAAGAATATGAAATTAGAAAATGTTAGCATCAACAATCAGTACCCTACATATCTGCTTTTATGATATCAAAGAAATTATCCATTACAAATAGTTCCTCCATAACAGTCAACCAAGGATTCAGCATTCAAGTTTTTAATGTTTATGTCAAGAAAGACCAAATACTTTGCTGGCCAAAGGGATTTTGTATCATGGCAATGTGTCTTACCATATACCACTTAAAAAAAAAGAATTATAATACTGCAACATCCACCATGTTTACTTGATTTGGTTCTGTGTGGCCTTGTCATGTTTCCAAAACTAAATCTTTCCTTTAAAGAGTCCCATTTCAATCACCTTATATACAACAGTAAGCCTCATATTCAAGGGGTACTGAGGGCCCTTTCCTCAGGGATAAAGTGGCCAGAGTGTGAAGCTGACCACTCACTGGAGTTATACCTCCACTCCCTCATATGTCTTTAAGGTGTGGTGTTTAATTGATTAAACATGGGGCAACTTTACTCTCTACCTTTAACTTGAAAAAGATTTTAAATTCTTAAAATGCACTCATCAACAACAATTAAAATTTTACTTTCTGCAGTTTTCTTTGTACCATGTTATTTGCGAACCTCTTTCATGTAGGGCATGTGTTTTTCCAAAATCTGACCAAATCATCTCTGATGATGCTGTTGTTTCCGTATTTCTTGGTTTATTTAGCAATGCTGTCAGTTGCTGAAGTTATTTATCACTGAGAAGCTGTGTTAATGGACAAACTTACTGTATTATGAGTAATACATTTTGGATATTTTGACATAAAAAGATAATGACTGTATATTTTCCCATTTCCAAAATTATGGGTCTTCCCCCCACCTCACACTTCTGTTTCAGAGTAATGAAGCTTTGGAAACTTGTTATGCTAACATGCTGCTTCTTCATTTTTCAGGCCCCTTCAATGCAATCCCATGACAGCCGGGGTTCTAAGTCACAGGTTCCCCAGACTTCTGGTCATGAATTCAAGAGCCAGTATCGGGGTGCAAATAGCACTGCTGAGAGTCAGTTCATGTACAATGGGTGAGTCATCTGTTTGTCAGCTTGGGTAATATTGTGTTGAAACTACAAAGAATTTTAAGTTTTGTGACATCTAGGTGCTGGATCAAATATGTGTTGTTCTGCATGATAAATATTTATGGCTGTTATCATTTGTTTCTTTCTCTTTCAGATGATCCTGAATTGTACATAATTAAACATGACACTGTTTGTTACTGTATTGAAGTTATTAATATTTCACACTGAGACAGCTTGGTTCCTTCCAGCATGCACCAGCAGACTGCTCTGTAGCAGCACACAGTGAAATTAACTTATCTTAAGTCCATGTAACATTTAAATTATGATAGATTTCTATCTGGTTTTTAGTTCCCATTTTAGATCATGTGTTAATGAATGAGCAAGTGCTATCTTGTAAAATGCTGTGTTTCTGTCAACAGTAATTCTCATATCTGTTTTGATGATGAGAAATGTAGAGCAACTGATACCCATTCTAAATATTCTTTTCCAATATTCCTCTTGATTTATTGAGATAATTTGTGATTTGTCATGATGCCTGTAGAAGTTTTCAATAGAACCATCATGTGTTAAACTCTACCAGGAAATGAAATGTAGTGTAAGGTTTCAGATATGTTATGATGTAAGAACCAGTTCTTTGCACTCCTGTTTATTTTGGTCATAGAAGCAGGACACTTTGTCTTTTCATGAATATGTTAAGAGTTTAAGGCCTTTATTGGAGAGAATTTTATATCTCATATTTTTTCTGAAAGTGAACAGTTCACATATGTTTAAGTAGAACTGCATGACCATACGAAGTCCATTTGACATATGCTGAGTTTACAGGCACCATGGTGGAGTTTCAACAGGGGCGGTGCCTCGAACATGGATGGGCAATGAACGTGCTGATGATGTGTCAGATAACTGGCGGGCAAGAAACACTCAGCATTTCCAGTCTCAAGCCATGGTGGGCAGGAGCCCTGCACCTCTCCCTCTTCAAGATCAGCCTCACAGGACGGGTCTGCCCAACAGTTCAGACAGCACAAAGGGACGAGACAAAGTGGATAGAGCAGAGGAGGATGACATCGAACAAAGCAATGTACAGAGTAGTGGTGTGTTGGAGGTGGCAAAAGATGGTGTGAAAGATGGTGACAAGAACAAGGCTTTTCCTACTAGGACTTACCACACAATTAAGGACATGATCTCAAGTAGATTTGGAAGTGGTAAATTGCCAAAGGATGGAATTGGGAACACTGAAGCCCACAGTACAGCTGGTGCTGAGGCAGGGAATAAAGCAGGTGAAAGTGGACAGAGTAATGTAATGGCTTTGAACAATACTCCCAGTGCAAGTGGTGAGGGAGCAAGTAAATGTGTTAATGGGAATGCTCGAAAAGCTACATCCAGTGGTCGAGTAGGTTCTTCCATTCAGAAAGAGGATGCAGCTGGGGGCTTCATGAACTCAGAGGAATTAGAACTCTCTCAAAAGCAGCATGTTTTAGGGGGTGGTTCTCAGCAGATGGCAGGTCCATCAAGGAACTATAACAGTGAGATAACTGAGGGACCCTTCCACAGTCCCCATGTCACTGTTGCAAGACTAGGGCCAGGAGATGGGCCTTCAAGAAGAGGAGGTGATGGAGAAAGTGTGCTGCAAAAGAGTGGAAAGGGTTCCCAGGGATCATGTTTAGAACAAGGACAGTATGCAACAGCTCAGCAGGATAGAGGGGGAGAATTCCCTGGGAATAGGGAGTACCGTCATCCACAGGCCCAGGAGCCACCTTATGGTTATCAGAGACCTCATCCACGGCTTCCACAGGGTGTGTTGGATCAAAGTAGCATCTACATGGTGATGCGGCAGAATGGGCAGAACTACCAACAAGCAGTGCCGGTAGGCATTAAAGAAAATCAATATGGACTTCAAGACCAGGAGCCTGATATGAGGAGACAGAACATTGCAAATGTGTTGAATTTCCAACATGCCGAGGGCAGTCGACCATTAATGGAGGGCTCCGCAGTCTCTAATTATGGAACCCCAAATATGGTGGGTCTGGTAAAAAGGGATGCTGGAGGCAGTCATTCCCGTAGAGGATCTCAGTCTCGGTTGGATGAAGAAGACGATGATGAAGGTGGATTTGTTATCAGTGGCAGTAGAGGAGGTACAGCAGCTAATAATTTAAGGAGTAGTAATCATTCAGTTGGGGGTGAAAACTTCATGAAAGCCATGGGTAGTGGGAATTACAATCAACAGCAATCTTCTGGCCAGAGTTCAGATTATGAGAAAGCGACACAGAGAAGCATAGGACAGTCTTCATCAAATGCTGACTCAGGCCGAGGCAGCACTGTTGGCAGTGTTGCTCACCCGGTGACGCATGGAGGATTGAGAGGGGAAGCATCAGAGCATCTTGACACAAGCACTGAATCATCAGATTCACCACAGGCTCTCAGTGGATGCAGAGAAGGCATATATGGGTTACCTCCAGGTCTGGTCACAGGTGAGTGTTTTTGAGAAGACCATACAAGGACATGGTGTATGAGGGGCAGTCAGAAGGTTCCTGGAATGGTAATATTGCACTGTAATGGTAGGACATACAGAAAAACTTACCAATTCACCTTCAAAGTATGACCCGCATGTGCGTACACACACACACATGCACACGCACATGCAAACACAGGCTCACATTCCCCCCCCCCTTCTCTCACTTCATCAATCCTACCACTGTTGGAAGCACTAGCAGAAGGCTTCTTTTGAAATCTTCTGGAGTTTGGTCATTGCATTCAATTTGTTGTCCTCCAGGGTTGTGAAACTTGTCCCCTTGAGCCCATTTTCAGAGTAGGGAATAGCCAAAAGTCAGTTGGAGCTAGATCTGGAGAGTACAGTGGTTGGGTGATGACAGGAATGTTTTCCTCAGTTAGCAATTGCTGCACTATAAGTGATGTGTGGCTTTGTGCATTATTGTGATGCAGAAACCACTGTCCCTGCCACTTGTCATGCTGCTTCCTCTGAACTGCATTACACAACCTCTACAAAACTTGCATATAGGAATGACCAGTAACACTGTGCAGGTGGTACAAACTCATGGTGCATTGTGCATCACTTTTTCCTTGGATCTGATGAGGCATGATTTCTTTGGTTTGGGAGACGTTGCTGTGTGCCACTCTGGTGACTGCATCTTTGTCTCCAGATCATAGGCGAACACCAGTGACTCATCCCCAGTTACAGTCCTTTTGAGAAATGCTGGGTCCACTGTACTTTTCCCTAACAGATCTCCAGTAACCATCATATGACATTCCATCTGCTCTGCGGTCAGCTGCCTTGGAACAAACTTGCACTGATATGTCTCATATTCAAATCATAGGACAGAATCGCATGAGTGGATCCATGAGAGATACCAACTTCTTGCTCCATCTCCATGATGGTCATTCTTTGATCAGATAGAATCCACTGTAACATATTTTCAATCATTTCTTTGGTTCTGGGTGTCAAAGGCCTTCCGTTGAGCTGGTCATTCTCCAATGTCTCTTGTCCTTTCTAAACCAGGAAAACCAGTTATAAACTGCAGATTTCTTTAGTGCAGTATCACCGTAAACTTTCTGCAGGGCCAATAGTGTTTCTGAAGCTGACTTTCCCAATTTGCACATAAACTTGATGTCCACAGGCTGTTTGAAGTGCGACGTTGCACTGAATGACCAACACTTACGTCTAACTCAAACACAACAGTAATGACACTGCATGCCAAAACCTGTGCAGACCTGTTGCAGCTGCGAGCAGACATGCTGAGCTCCTCATCACAACAGTGCGTGCACTGTCTTATGTCTCATTCTCTGTCTGCAGGGGAATTCTGGGAACTTTTTGACTGTCCATTGTATTTCTATTAACAGTGAAATGTTTTCATCTCCAACTCCATATGATGTCAGACAAATGAAAATGGCAGTAGAACTAGTTCAAGAAATGTCACCATGTCATCACTTTATCACTAGATTGATTTAGTCTGATATGGGTACACACGAAACAATGGTTTGGTCAGAAATTTCTTCCTCAGTAATTGCTTAGTTATATAAATTTTTGGATAATAACTAATGTGTGTTCTGTATATACACATTTATAGGCTGTGCCTTTATTCTAAAGTTTCAGTTTCAAAATAGAGGTAGTGTATGACCACTACTCAGGTTAGCCCATTATCATTCCTTTTCGGACACTTTATGACACTTTCAATATCTAGACCACACAGCATCAAATGGTAGAATGATTGACAAATGATGAGCCTGAAAGGATTTGGAGAAAGTGGTCCGCTAAACATTATCACAACTGTACAACTACAGAGCTGAAATGGAACATGTTTTCAAACCAATGAAATGCTCTTTTCACAGACAGCTCAGTCTGCTAGATTAATTTTGGTTTCAGTGACACATAATGCTTGTTAACAAACTTTTTGAATGAAGTGGCATCTTGACTTCGAGGGAAGTTCTCAGAACCTGTGCAGAACATATAAATTTCTTCAGTGAGCAGAATTGACTTATGATGCTCTTTCTGCTCATAGCAAATGATTCAGAGTGGGTGGACATTGTGGAGTCGGAGCTGCGTCAGATTCTAGACCCCAAACTACATGGTCTGGGTCACCCAGTGCCCCCTGTGGGAGCCAACTCAACCCTCAGTGAAAGCATCTCATCTATGACACCACCATTGCCTCCTCTATCCCCTGGTGGGGGCTCAAGCCCCTCTGTGTCTCCACTGAATTCCACCAGATACAAGCATAGTTCAAGGTTAGTGTATTATTCAGGATGGTGGTGGTGGTAGTAGCAGCAGCAGCAGTAGTAGTAGTAGTCTGTAATTTTGGTTTCATTTTCTGGATCTGTTTTTCCCCCATACTGTGTCAAACATTTCTCATACATGCATAGGTGTGTGTAGAGATGCAAGGAGAGAAGCATACATGTGTATGTGTGCTATGGGAAAATGTTTTGCCTGGCATGTTAAATTTTGATTTTATGGTAGAAAATAAAGTAACAAGCCACAAAGTAGGAGTCGTAGCACTTAATTTAGCCAATGGGAAAACTGAAATGTTGATTACCTCACTTTTTTGACTTAGGAAAATTTACTTTAGGCACACAGGCACAGACAGACAGAAACTCTCTTCCTGCATTGACTAAGTTTACTCGATTTTTGTGGTGTTTATGATCTTGCTGTAGTTGAGTATATATCATTCAAACTTTCTTCTTACTGCACAGATTATATTTAATTGGACATTTTCTAAATTTATACATAAACTTCTACGATTTTCTCAGAAATGTTAGTTCATGTCTTGACTACAGATCTGTATCTGCTATCTTTTGTCAGCAACCTGTTGCTTTGATCATAGCATCTATGATGTATGTATGATTTTCTTATATTAAAGATACTGTCACATATTTAGGGGTGTGTGACTATAGATGGTGTATGGATTGGGTATTGGATTTATTGACTACTTCTACACACCACTGGGAACTACAGGTAATTACAGCAGTACCGATAATCTCCACAATTCACAGATCACCACATCACCCCTAAGCCTCTTTCCAGCCTGCTCCATAAATGAAGGCTATACATGGTACTGTAACAGTACATGAGCCACTTTTGCGATAAAATGGTGATTACAAATGGTCATGACAATAATGACAGCAGGGTTGTTGCATTCTGTTTCAGGAAATCTTCACAAGGTGGTAATGGGGGAGGCGCTATAAGCAAATCGCACCATAGTGCACGTGGGAATAATGGCAACAATATGAATGTGCCTTGTAGCAGGGGAGGTTGGACCAATCATGGTGGCAGTAAGAATCAGCTTGGACCTGATAAACAGCACAGGCAAAGTGGAATGCTTAGCAGTGGGAAGAAGGGTGATCAGAGCAAGATGCCACTCAGTAAGTTAATGTGGCAGCATAGTGTCTCATGTCACACTACACTCCAGCTGTTATTTAACTCTTCCACATATAAGAATATAATTGAGGAGCTATTTCAAGGAAATAGCAGTTCCAGTCTAGAAAAACGAGATTAACGGCCATGGGGGTCCGTTGCGCTGACCACATGACACCCTCTATCTGCCAAATTTGGCACTAATTTTGTCAACAAATTTTGGTTTTTTGGTCAGTATAGTTCAGTTTTGGACTACAGGCAATGGAGTTTGTTTTTGTTTTCTTTGTTCATATCTGAACTCAGCCCTGTCCATTTCAGAACAACACTGGTCAACAGTCATGTGTTGGCCAGGTACCTTTGTCAATTGTATGTTTTATGTGTTAGCACTGTTGCTGTATGGAGATGTTACTTGCTGCATTTGCACTCTTCAACATTTGAAGTTGAAATGAAGATCTCACAATAGTGCTTCTTTCTTCTGACCAAACTGTGGATTGCTGTCATATGTAGACGTAGGGAGGGAAGCTTCTTTCTTCTGACTAAACTATGGATTGCTGTCATATGTAGATGTAGGGAGGGAAGCTTCTTTCTTCTGACCAAACTGTGGATTGCTGTCATGTAGATGTAGGGAGGGAACATTAAATCATGGCCAGGATATAAATATCATATTACTGTAAAGTTGTGTTTGTAGACTTGCTTGAATTTTCATATTATTCTTGATTTTGACTTATGCAACACTTATGTATGAATGAATTAATGTATAAGGGGTGGGCCTTCTTGGCCCTTGCACTGCAACCACAGTGATCTATTGTGCCTCCCCTTCTGATTATCCCCTCAGCAATGCGCTTCGAATGAAGTGCAGGATTTTGTATGTGGGGATGTCAAAATAGTCACTTGGTTCCATAAAATATTTACCCAAGTGACATAATCTTAAATAAGCTAAGGCCTCACATTCGCACAGGATATGTGTGGCTGTTTCATTTTCTTTCACAAGTTGGACTATTACTTAGTCCAAGTTTGAGGAGGTGTCCTTTAAGATGACAGTGTCCTGTAAGTAGTCCTACCACCCATCGTAGCTGGTTCCTGTTTAACTTCAACAGTTCTTTCGCTCTTTTAGTAGAGGGTACTCATATGAGTCCCTTTGCTTGCTTGAGTCCAGTCAAGGATCCCCAGTATTTCTTGTGATTCATATTTGTCCAGTTCAATTGCCTTTCTGGTGACTCCTATAGAGATGCCACAGGCTGGTTCAGGTTCTATGAATGGATGTTCAGCTCCAATTGGTCTGCTATTTCGTTTCCAGCAATACACTCATGCCCCGGCACCCATATCAGTTGTACTCTGTTATGTTTGGCCAGTTCCAAGAGAGTTTGGTGGCAATCCCAGGCCAATTTTGAGTTAATCTGGCATTTGTCAAGTGCTTTAAGTGCAGCTTGGATGTCAGATAGAATGTAGATGTTCCTATTTCTGTAGTTCCTATCTAGATTCTCCACAATACATGCCTTAATGGCATATACTTCTGCCAACACTTATGTCATATGCTTTACAGTTTTGAAAATTTGACAGATAATATTTCAGGAAGGAGTATTAAGTGGGAAGAGCAGCAGACAAGATATTAAGATGAAAAATGGCAGATCTGAGGAAAGAAAGAAATATAAAAAAGTACTTGGAGAGCTGTAACTTAATAAATGAAATCAGTACAGTTATTACCACATCTTGTGAGCTATTTTTAAATGTGTAGAAATACACTGAATTCAAAATGTTGCGGCAGACTCACTTCATGATCTTCATAATGTGCATCCTGTTGTGTGTTCCGAATATACGAGGAGCGTTCCATATATAATGCCTCCTATTTTTCTTTAAAGAAAACTGCAACAGGTACAGAAAGCATAATAATGCAGTTAAATAGAGCAAGATTTCAGCTACTTACAGTTATTTTTCCACATAATCACCACCATTCGTTATGCACTTTTGCCAGCGATGAACAAGAGCCTGTATGCTGCGCCTGTAAAAGTCTGCGCCAGCAGAGGCTAGCCACTTTCTTACAGCTGCAATGACAGCATCGTTGTCTGGAAAATGTTGCCCACGTAGTCCGTCTTTCATAGGCCCAAAGAGATGGAAGTCTGAAGGTGCTAAACCGGGGCTATAAGGTGGATGTGGTAGGACAGTCCAGCCAAACTTTGCAACATGCGCGGTGGTCGCCAAACTGGTATAGGGTCTAGCGTTATCATGTTGCAAGCGAAAGGTTATCTGTTTCTCTGGCCTGACTTGGGAAATGTGGGCTTTCAGCTTAGTCAGCGTCGTCTTGTAGCGTTCAGAATTGACAGTCTCACCAGGCTCCAGGAAATCCAAGAAAATCACACCCGCCTATCCCAAAAGACCATGCACATCACTTTCCCTGCCGATGGCTGTGTCTTGAACTTCTTTTTTCTTGGATGTCGCCACTCCATGGACTGTCTTTTGGATTCTGGCTCATAGTGGTGACACCACATCTCATCTCCGATGACGATGCTGTCCAGAAACTTGTCACCTTCAGCGTCAAACTGGTGCAACAGGTCCTGACAAACTTCAATTCGATGAGTTTTGTGGTCCTGTGTAAGCTTCTGCGGGACCCACCTGGAACAAACTTTGCAATAATCAAGCTTCCCCAACATCGTTTCCAATGCATTACAGCTGATATTAAGCCGTACACACAGTTCCTTGATCGTTATCTGCTGATCTGTATGGATGAGGCGCTGTTCATTGTGAGGAGTGGCATCTGAGCAGGGATGCCCAGGGCATGGCTTGTCGTGCACTTCACTTTCGCCACTGTTGAAACGCACTACACCTTTAGCAAGTGTCGATGGATGTCAATGGGTACAATTTGTTCGGCAATGAGAAATTCAGTAACACATCTCTGTTTCATATTCACTTCTATGTCAGGCACCATTTTGGTAGACAACCAAACTAACAGTACATTGGCGGGAAGGTTCAACGTTTACTACAATACCACCAACCTCCATCTCAGACGTTACATATTAACACAAAAAATTAGGAGGCATTATTTATGGAATAACCTTCATATATATAGTAGTTATGTTAAACCATCACCACAACAAATGTATACTCGCTTTCAATGTTTACAATTAAACCTTTATTTTGCTGCATGCTTCAGTCACACAGGGCCATCATCAGACAGTTAATGTGGAATATGTCTAGTCATTGAATTACTAATATGGATCCATACTAGTGCAATGTGTCATATTATATGATAACAGAAATTTTGCCTCAAGTTGGTAATAAGTATAACAGTTAAGTATATAAAATAATAATAAAAAATATATATACATATAGTATATTAAAAGTGTATATAAGTGTGTTCAGTGGTAAAACACATTACAATATTACAAAATGTTGAAGTATTTAAAGTATTATTAAAACTTAAGTTATTTAAAAGTATGTTAAAGTTAATCTACCGACCACACAACACGTTTTTTATTTACTGCCACACTACATGTTTCGACCTCAGGAGGTCATCATCAGGTGTACGAACACAATTTCACAATCACACGCAATCACTTCCTTTCTCCACTAATTTCCATCCTGTATCCTGTTCAGATTCACGCTCAAATAATATGTATAAGTTCTTCTTATANAACGTAACAGATCCCACATCAGAGGACGCCGAAGAACGACAAGACCTTCAAAAAGTGAAAGGGCAGTCAATGTGACGAGTGAAGTTTATTTTTCACGAACTTTCTAAACAAGTGATAATAACGTAACTGGCTACAGGGAACTGAATTTTGAATTTTAAATCTTAATTTTTGACATTGGTATTTTTAACTTGTATTTTATAAGAAGAGCTTTTTAACTTATATATTTTTAACTTATATGGTATAAGAAGAACTTATACATATTATTTGAGCGTGAATCTGAACAGGATACAGGATGGAAATTAGTGGAGAAAGGAAGTGATTGCGTGTGATTGTGAAATTGTGTTCGTACACCTGATGATGACCTCCTGAGGTCGAAACATGTAGTGTGGCAGTAAATAAAAAACGTGTTGTGTGGTCGGTAGATTAACTTTAACATTCGTCTAGTACACAACAGGATGCAAGGAACAATAAAAGTTATTTAAAAGTATATATGCCAAGCTAATTCTAATGTTCAGGTGCTACAGTGTAGTATTAGGCATATTATCAAATTTGTGAATCCTTGTTAGAATTATCCTCATAGTAAAACATACAGGTCCTTATTTTCAGATTGGCACTTACCCCTGGGCTTCACAACCTGGTTTTATTATGTGGATGCTTTTAATGTTTACATGTACACAAATCACTCCTTTTTTATGATAATATTCTACCAGATTGCAAGTGTTGCAATGACTAGCTTCCTTCACTTAGGTGCTTCTGTATTTGGCTTGGATACCACAGACCTGACATCAACAACAACTGGCCTGGACTCCATGTTGGATGGCAACACTGAAAACAATTCAAGTGATGATCTCAGTACCACAATAGACACTACAGATGCTCATGCTATCAGGAAGCAACTGGAAGGCCTTGAGAATATGTACTCAGAGGTAAGTTGAGATTATATGAGTTGCACATGTAGGAGGAAGACAGAGTGGTCACAGTCTGTGTCAATATGTATATCTCCGGATATGAGACAAACACATTTCGAGTAAGCTTGTGTTGTCAGTTATCTTCTCAGAAAGCATAATTTTCTTTCTTCCATTGTACTTACTCTCTAAGCAAATGGGCACTTAGGTATAGTAATGGCTATAGACTTTATATGGCATGGCAATGGGTAGTTCCCTTTCTCCCATTATTAGCGACATCTACATGGAACACTTTGAACAACTGGCTGTTGACTCGATGCAGGACAAACCATCGCTGTGGGTCTGGTATGTGGATGATACATTTGTGATCTGGCCTCATGGTGCAGACAGGATACAGAATTTTCTTATCCACCTCAACAGTCTGAGACCGGCCATCCAGTTTACTATGGAAATAGAATCGGAGGGAACAATCCCTTTCCTGGACGTTCTGGTCATAAAAAATGGATGGCTCTGACCGAGAAAGTTTACAGGAAACCTACCCACACTGGCCGATCTCTTAATTTCAATTCCAACCATCCCCCACATGTCAAAAGAGGAACTGTTCATAGTCTTCATGTTAGAGCTACCACTATATGCCAAGACTGGCAAGACCGGTTAATGGAGGTTGACAACCTGAAACGTGACCTGCAACTCAGTGGTTATTCTCAAGGATTTATTGACTCAGTTATCAGGTCCAAGGGTAGTTGTCATCAGAGAAAAGAGGAAAAGCCTCTTGGCACGGTTTATATCCCGTATGTCAAGGGTATCTCTGAGAAGTTTAAGCGCATAGGAAACAAATATAACATTAGGACCGTCTTCAGAACTAAACACACTTTACGATCTTCGCTCGTGAAAATGAGACCAAAAAGGGATCCTCAACAGACGGCACATTGCATTTATAGCATTCCCTGTGAATGTGGCAGAAGCTACATTGGTGAAACAGGCAGACTGCTGGCTGTGTGAATCCGGGAACACAGGCATAATCTCAAGCAGGGTCTTCTAGAGAAATCCAAGTTGGCTCAGCATGCATATGAAGAGGGCCATAAGGTGGGCTGGGACGAAGCTAGGGTCTTGGTGATTGAAAGTAACAGCAGGTACAGAAAGTTTAAGGAATCAGCTCACATGGCATGTTCAACTAATCCGATTAGCCAGCCCAGTTTGGATATTTCTCCCTTATGGATCCCCTTCATCAATGAAAAGGTCAACAAGTCAAAATGAAAGTTTTTATGAAAATCAGTGCCTTCCGCTACATGTGCTAGTTTTGTTCTGGAGTTTAGTCTTATTTTTAGAAGTCGCCCTGGTGGCATGATTCTTTATCTGCATAATTAGCTATACATCCTCTATACTTTTTACCCTTGTTTTTAACTTAATTCCTGGAACTTAATCCATACAACTTGTTTTATCACATTTTTGACATGTGCATGCTTGGCACAAAAGTTTTAGCGTGTCTTTTATTGTGATTTTATTCTTATCTCCCAATGATGGAATCTGTTGTCAAGTCTTTATAGGCTCTTCTCTAGACAGATGTTATTTTTTTGCAGTGATTGAGACTAGTGCTTTCTAATGGGCCCAGCTGAGTATATCTATCTTGCCCCCATCCACCTGAGAACAGAGACAGATGGTTTTTTGTTTTGTATATACCAGATGATGGATAGAGTCCAAAATAAACCTTATAGTTCTCTACAATAATGGATATTTGTTACTGAATCCCAAGAGACCTAAACATTTGTCTGTTTTAAATAGGTTTCAAATAAGTTAACTATTTACCCCTAGATAGAAAGAAAAATATTTTACATTACAAACCCAATGTAAATATGTAATGAACTGAAAGTCAGAAATTCATTCTGTATGTGCACATAGCAGTTGTTGAGCAACACAATTTTCAGTGTCCTTTCCTGTATTCTTTATCTGTTGTCATCCTTCTCCCTTCATGCTTCTTTTTGATTACTTTTAACTTTCTCATATATATACTATGAGGAAGTATTATGATTGTGAAGAAATCTTACCTTTTGATTTAACTCCTGCATTTGAAAAAGTGTGTTTTAGAATCCAGTCTATCAGTCTGTATTTATGTCTGCATGTATGTGCACTTCACTAGTACCTGAATGGATGGATGGATTTTATTTATATTTAATGTTTAAGAGTTTATCCATCAAAAGGTCAGTGTCCAGGGAATATGAACATTCTAGCTCCAAAAATGGTGACCGTTCACAGGAGCCCCAAAACGCTGTTGTGATTTTCTTGAAAATGCCTATGACTTCAGTTGCATTTCAGCAGATTATGGAGATCATCTCTCTAAATAAAACTGCATAGGTGTTATTTAATGGACAGTAACACTATGCCCCCTAAAGAGGTAAAGCTCTCCCTGGGACAGGCAGTGGAGACCTGTAGGGTTGTGAGATGCCAAGGTTCCCACATTTTTCTAGGCAGTTGGCTCAGATGGCAGTGAGATTGTCAGCCTTATGTTCTAGCCACCCTTTACCACTAGGAAGATTCCTGGTACTCAATCCTGTTAGAGGCTGAGTCAGTATATGATGACATAACAATCCTCTTTTTCCTTATCAAGGAAGGAAAGTAGGCTGAAATAGGGGCAATGACTAATTTCCTTTCTCTTCATTAACTTACTGTATACCTTATTCCTTCTGTTTCCCAATGAGTTCTGCAGCATTTATTCAGTTAACTGATTGGTCATAGAGAGAGAAAGAGAGAGTGAGGGTCAAAGGAACCTCAAGAAGGAACCTCTGCTATTCTTGTAGGTTGTTTTAAATTGATTTTGGTTTTCATTTTTATTTAGGTATTAAAACTGCTAGGAGTTAAGAAGTATGGTGGTCGTTACCAACCTTCAGACCCCCGAATCAACAAACGTCGCCTTTATGGCAGCATGTCATCTCTGCCAAGTTCAGTCAGCAGTCGACCAATTAGAGACAAGCGCAGGCAAGATGAAAGGAAGAAAGTGAAAGACATCAAGGTATTACATTTTTCATATAATTTGCAGTATCCATGTCTGCCAATCCATCACACTACTTAGGAAACTAGTAATGGTAGCAGATTAGCATATATACAAAAACTGTTCAATTTAGGAAGAAAAGCTCTGAAAGAATTGTTAATTTTGCTGTTATATGCATGGGTCTGAGTCCAGACCAGTTTGTTTCCTCATTCTTTCCCCCCACCTATGAAGACAGTATATAACCTTGAGGTTTCCATAGTAATTTTGGTGATGAAATATGCATAGCCATGTAAGCTGTTATTATAAGATGTAAACTATTCTTGAAAATGAGCAAGTACTCCTACAACTAGTAAGAGAAGAGTACAAGGTGTACTTCAAAAATGGAGTGCATATATTTTCAGTGTGCCTTCTTTGCTATTTGGTGTATGCCAGTGACCTTCATATTCACATATTATAGACAAATCTACTATTGCAAAACTATTTGCATAACAGATATGACACTGTATGGAGAGTGGCATGTTCTTCCTTCTATTTTAATGAAGATTAACTATAGAAGCAGCAGGTAGATATGAGCAACTTCTTTCTCTGAACATTCATGTAATAATTCTTAACTCATGAACAAGATTATAAAGAATATACTGTGACGTGTTGCGCTATGGAGGACACCCCCTCCCTCCACAGCGGTGACGTAACACGGGATGCTGCTGTTGCTACTCAGCAGTAAACAACTCCCAACAGCATTGCTAGGCTATCGGCAAACATGGCGTCAGACAACAGTGGTGCCTATTACGTAACTGTTTTCTGTGTTGTCCGTAACGGGGCTAAATAAGGAGTAGCGAAGACTATTCAAGTTAGTTATGAGTTGGCCAGGGAAGAGTATGCAGTCTAGTATTTGTAATACTGCAGAGAGCAGTAGTTGTGAGATTGTAAACTTTGTGATTGTATGAGCGAGTGTGGAATAAAATTCACTATATCCAATAAGGCGTGAAGTTATTTGTCATGTTATACACCCAACACGTGACAATTTGGTGTCAGAAGTGGGATTGGACTTACACACGTGAACAACAAGATTCAAACTTAAGACACGTGACAATACTATATAATATAGTACAAGAAATACCCATTGGTGCTGTTTGTTGTTTATTTGCTTGTCACCTGTTTCTAGGCTGGTTTCTTGCTTGGCTTAATCTTTGACCCTAGAGATGAAGGTAATATCTTCCCCTGAAATGTTAGTGGACTTTGACCATACTACATGGCACTACATCCCAGATGATGTTGCTCTGTGTTCAGCTTACTTGACACCAGTTTATAAATGCCACTTCACAAAAACATAAAATGAATAAGACAAAATTAAAAAAGTTCATACTTGAATACCATAATAATGCAGAATTTGAAATTAGTATATTTTTTTAATGATGGTGCCTTAACACAAATTATAGCACTGAATGATCAGATGGCAGTGAATAATGAACTGGAAAGGATATGGAAGAAAGTGATTGCAGCCAGATCTAAAGTACTGCTTGGGAGACTGAGGAAAACCACAAAAAGCCTTCGAGTAGTCTGTGTCCCAGCTGGGTTCTGTAAGCTGAATCTCCAAAATAAAAGCTGGAAGCATTACTGCCTGAGCAGACTTACTCAGCATGTTCCTGTCGAGTTGTATATTAGTCAAACTGCAATTAAATAAAGAGTGAATATTCATATCTTCAATATCATTTATGTCAAATAGTTTTTAATGAATATCAGATTTCATTAAAATCTATGAAATGGCTTATGGGGTACCCATCATTGAACTGGAAATGGAATGACAAAGAATGCCTTTATTTTAATGATATGAAGTGAAGGAAATGGAGAATGTGGGATAATTTTTTATTTGTTTCATGCTTAGGGAATCAATAAGCGGTTCCAGCGGCTTGAGTCACATGTGGTGACGTTGGCAAGGAGTGTGGCACATCTGTCTTCAGAGATGAGAACACAGCATTTGATGATTCAGGTACATAAGCCACTTTTAAAGGCCCTTGGTCATGGCATGGTGAATTTTACTATATCAGACAGGGTTTAACCTTTTAACAGTGAGTGTTTAAATGCCTAATGGAAACAGCTCTATGGAATGTTCTTTACAAGCATTTAAATTTGATTGCAGGCTGTACAAAAAATTATTATCTAAAGTAAGAGTGATGCAATTTTGAAACAAACTGTATTTTTAAGAAAATAAAACAAGTAGTGCAGCGTCTTTTAAAAGTGCTATCATTATCTTAATTGCATAAATGTATGCAGAAAGTCTGCAAGTTTATAAATTGAAAGTGTTGCTAACTGGATGTGAATACTGGAAGCTTGGATACAAGAAAACTGGGAGTTTAGTGTATTACCTGTGTTTGTAATATATAATTATGCAAATAACACATATTATGTTACCATGATTATCTGTTATCATCATTACACCTAAAAGTTTAATGTTGTTATATATATACAGTAAAACTTGGTTATAGCAACATCGGTTTCTGCGACACCTTGTCTATTGCGTCAAATATTCAATGGTACGAACTAATTCCTCATAAAGCAACTGTTTTTATACCTTGCTTAGTACGACATGCACAAATACATCAACCTCGTATGTAACGTCATTTTCATTCCTGAATTTCTCTGATATCGTGGGAAAGTTCGATGTGTCTGCCCACCCTCACTTTCTCTACTTGCTGACATGACTGTCCTGGAAGAATACGACCGCGGGCTGCAAGAGGAGCGTGGGTTTTATGCGAAAACAAGGGTGTGGGGTGGGACTGCGTGAATAGTGCAAGAGGACGCGGCAGGTTGTTAACTGCATTCCTTTCCTAGAATCTCGTCTAACAGGACCTCACATTGTCTACTTACCCTATAGTGTTCCTGCCTAAACCCAGAGAAGTGCAGTAGCGAAAACATGGCAATGAAAAGGAAAGTTTTAAGCATTGAAGAGAAAGTTAAAGTGATTCGTGAAATATTGTGTGTATTGTCAGTGAAAAGCGCTGTAATATGTCTTTGATATTACACATTTGGGCAATTCCACGTTAATGTTACGTTAGTCTGTACTTAACTACGTATTTCACTAAAAAATGCAACATTTTAACTCGGTTTTTGGTAGATTTTTACGTGACTAACATAAGGCTACTGTGGAAGTGCCCATTTCGGTTACGACGACATTCGTTTATAACGACACTATTTTTAAGTCCCTTTGATGACGTTATAACCAAGTTCTACTGTATATATATTTTAATTTGTTAAAGAATGATTACTCGTTAGTTCCATGACCCTCCTTTTCAAAAATTGTCCATTCTCCTTGTTGTTTGTCTTTTTCCTCCATCTTTTCACCTTATAAATAATTCTCTACATCTTCCAGCAGTCTCAGTCTGGGTCTTCCTACTTTTTTTATGTGCTGGCTTACTTTAAAATATTTAGCTGTTATAATAACTGCCCAAATAAAAGTTGCATACATTTCACTCTTATGTAAATAATTCTCTCTATGCAGCAGCATCTCCTTGAGTATCTAATACTTTCAATATTCTAAAACTATACAAAACTCCCAAGATCCTACATGATTTAATTGGCAGTATTGTACTGGCTGCCCTGATAGAGGTTTCTGTAGTTTTTCGTTCTCCAAACAAATGCCAGAAGAATGTGACTGCTCTGTCCTTGGTCCTTACCAGTTTGATGCATATAATTTTAACTTTAAATGAGCTTCATAGCTGTTAACAATATTTTTACATATGAACTAATGAGTATTGCTAAGAGCTCCATAATACTTGCAGTAAGGAACAAAGTACTTGTGTTGTGTAGGAGATGGAGAACATCAGGGGAGAGATATCAGCTTTGCGCTCACAGACACTGACAGCACGATCTCAGTCAGTGCCTCGTGGACTGAACACCCTCCTAGCATCTGGAGACAGAGATGCTCTCACCAATCCAGCCAGGGTCAAGAAGCTTACCAAGTTCTTTGGAGATGAGCCACCATTGCTCAGGCTGTTTTTGAAGAAGCTGGGGTATGAGGTTCGTTGGGCCTGTACTGTACTGAAGCAGTTATACACATCAGTTGATACATCATTATTAAACAACTAATCACTCATATCAGTATCACTCGGAATATTGTATTTTAGACCACACTATTTTCAGTCTATTAAGATACACAAAAATATTTATGTCAATGAGGAATGACTTGGTAGTGAAATATAGAGTATATTACAATACAAGAAAAGGAAAGACACTAATGAGATGGATTGATTGGTAATTGGTTATTTAATGAAGTATCAACTGCAGTTGTTATTTAGCAATGAATGATGGGAGAGAATGATCATATTCAATAGACATAAAGGGAATGGGAAGAAAGTAGTCATGGCCCATTTCAAAGTACTGTCTCTGCATCTGTATAGAGGCCCAGAAGAAAGAAAAAAAAGAAAAGAAAAGAATAGCTTAAGACAGGAATGTCAAGTGTCCCTGCTCACATCTGACCAGGCACCTATGTGAAGCTAGACAGAAATGCTACAGCTTGAGATTGGTACATTGGTGGAGGAAATAATAATGGTAAAACAAGACTTTTTTTTTATTTTCCTAAGCTCCATGGAATGCAGATATATACAAGGTGGTTCAAATATGACTGGGACTGATTTAAAAAAAAAATAATTGCCAAACACTTACTTGCACATGTCAGTCTTCAACGTACTCCCCTCCGGAGTCAACACATTTTTTCCAACTTTCTGGAAGCATCCTGGTGCCCCCCCCCCCCAAAAAAGACTTGTGGTTGGTGGCGTATCCACTCCCGAACAGTCTGGATGACGGCGTCGTTGTCCACAAACCACATGCCTTGCAAGTCTGATTTGAGCCTTCCGAACAGGTAGAAATCACCTGGGGCCAAATCGGGACTATGGCGGATGTGTCGGAAGGTTCCATTTCAATTTCTGAAGGGTTTCCATTGTTGTTCTGGCCATATGGGGGCGTGCATTGTCTTGAAGGAAGGCTACCCGCTTTCCACCTGTCTTCCGCTTGGATCGGATCTTTTCCTTCATGTCTGTTGCCAGGAGGTCTGAGTAATAAGCTGCATTGACTGTTCTGGCATCTGTCGGAAAGTCTACATGGATAGACCCCTGCCAGTCTCAGAAGAACGTTGTCATCACTTTTCCTGCTGAACGGCTCCTCCATGCTCTCTTTGGTTTGGGAGGACTGGTATGCCGCCACTCGCGTGATGACTGCTGGGACTCGGGAATGTAGTGCACCCACGTTTCATCGGTGGTCACTATAGACTTCAAAAATGCATCACCTTCACCTTCAAACTGCTGTAGGAGACAACTGGCAGCTTGCATGTGCACCATTTTGTTCATGTTTGTCAAAGTGCGTGGTACTCACCGTGCATTCACCTTGCGATAGTGCAGGTGGTACTTCATGATGTCTTCTACACTACCAACACTGATGGGCAGCATTACTCCAAGTTCCTTGATAGTGATGCGCCTATTCTCATGAATAAGCATGTCTGCACGATCAATGTTTGGCTCGGTGATGGATGTTCGTGGCTAACGATCATGCGGTTCATTCTCCACGCGCTCTCTGCCCTCTAGGAGACAACTAGTGGAAATTGAGAATCCTAGTGTTTGTGTAACAGTGATTTATACAGTGTAGAAACAGCAATAGCACTGCACTAATTGTAATCAAGAGAGAGTGTAACCAAAGTGCTAAATAAATCCAGTCATCCAAACTAGAACCCATTAATTTCATCAGGTGTACCACGCTACACATGACAATATACTGTCACATTGTACATGTATATCTTGCTTAAATAGACTGTCATATTGTACATACATGTTTTAGGAATCTCATAGCATGTAGATTTGTATCTCATATCATTTGTGTTTCTTTAGCGCATACTGCTTGGAGACAACTCTACCTTTCAAGACCATAGTGATTTCATCAGTTGCTAAGTGTTCTGTTAGAGTGCAGTATTTGGCAAATGGAATCTCTACAATAACAGCTAGAAACAAGTGCTTTTACTATATAGTCATATCAGGCAGTGGGAAGCATTCTTCAAGTGTGTCCATGTACTGATTGGTAAGGTGAAGTTGTCCCTGTGCTTAATTAATTAAGAATTATATATTTGTTTATTTCTTTCATAAGCAGTTGCATCATTCAAGGAAGAAGGGCATGATAACATTCTGTTTGGTAGAGTTTCTAGTAATATGGAGTGCTGTTTTTTGTCTTCACCCTAGAACCCAGTGTAAACCTGTAGCTGAGTTTGTGTACTTACTCTTAGCCCACAGTACTTAAGACTGTTTATGTTTTGTCTGCGAGCAAGTTCATGTGGCATTTGAAGTGGACACTGTTGCAGTGAGGTGGGCTTTTTCTGTGTATTTCATTTTGCTCTGTTAGTCTTTATTCCACCAATGTTCCACTTTAATCTATAGTTACCTTCTTCATCAGGGACTGGTACAGCAAGGCCATTTCAGGGTATGATACCAAGGGACTCACTGTCACCCCATTTCTATCATTACCTTTATCATTTGTTTGGTGTTTAATAAGGTGGAACAGAAGGTAAAAACTTCTTTTGTTTCACATGTGAACTTAAAGTTTGGTTATTTAGGGCAGCAGTAATTTTGGTGGCTACGCTGAGATGTTTTTAGTCACAAAAGTGGAACAAATCTTGATGAGGTGGCTATCAAAAGCATTCAGAACACTCACTCATGTTACATCACTGTGTTCATACTGGTAATTATAATACTACTCTGGCTGATTGCAGAAGTATGCAGGAACATTTGAACAAGAGCGTGTTGGCATGGTGGAACTCCCATACCTGACAGAAGAAAGACTGCAGAAGATGGGAATTCCTCTGGGGCCACGACTACGAATTTTGCAGGAAGCCCAGATCTCAGTCTGCAGGGACAAAATCTATGTTGTGTGAGTATATGCTGACCAAGTACATACCACAGCAGAATAAAACCAGTTTGCATGTTTGTATTGCATATTTCTTCTTTAGTTTTCAACCTCATACTCAGGGGGTGGGGGCACCAGTTTCTTAATCCTATTGAATTTCAATATTCCCTTGTTATTAACTTTGAAGCATTTACTTGTTTTTAACTCATAAATGTGTTGTGTACTCTTTGCACAAAATTTATGGACTGTTAGCATACCGAGTAGGTTATACAGTCTGTCCTTATGTTCTATCTCTGAAACCAATGAAGATATTTCAATTAAAAATAGTATCTGGGTTCTGTAGTAATAACTGTCAGGCAATTTTAATTTTTCTCTTGTAAACTACTGCTCACATAAAAATAAATGGAACTTAATCTGTTCTTGTTATTAACCTTTTGAATGCCAAGATCCACCATAGAACTACCTGCTAGAAATGCCAAGGCTGCTTGGGGTTTAACACGATTACACACAAAATCCCATAGACCTTCTGCATTGCCATCAATAGATGTACAAGGTGTGACAATTTAATTCCCAGAATGGCCGCAGCATGTCGCTGAGGTGTTGAGTCAGGCAAACTCATGTACCCAAGCAAGTTTGGACATATTCAAACTTGCATTTACAGGAGACACAGACCAAATGAGTTGTTCATTCCCAAGCAGCAGGGGGAAGAAGTACCTGTCCATGATATACTGTTGGTGGAAAAATGAGTGACAAGAATCTGGAGCAGCGGATAAATATCAAGTTTTGTGTGAAGATCGGTGAAAGTGCTAGTGAAATGTTAGCCCTGTTAACAGTGGATTACTGTGGGTACACTATGAAGAGGTCAAGTGTTTTTGAATGGCATAGGCAGTTCAAGGGAGTGCGAGATGTGCAAGATGACCCAAGAAGTTGGAAACCAAAAACGCAAAGGACAGATGCAAATGTAGACAGAGTAAGAACCTTGATGGGCTCAAATCGAAGGTTAGGCATGAGACTAATAGCAGAAGAATTGAGTATGACTAGGAAACAGGACAAGAGATAATTATGGATGATTTGAGAATGAGAAAAATTTCCACAAAGATGGTGTCTGAAATCCTGATAGTGACCAGAAATAACATTGGTTTCACATTTCATCTGATGTTTTACACAATGCAGAGATGTCTGACAGGGTCATTACCGGTGGTGAAGTGTGGTGTTTTCAATATGACCCGGAAACAAAATGCCAGAGCATGTAGTGGGAAAAACAGAATTCACCTCAGCCGAAAAAAGCATGCATGTCTCACTCGCAGTTCAAGACCATGCTTATGTGTTTCTTTCATCATAAGGGGATAGTTCACTATGAATTCACTACATAAGAACAAACAGTAAATAAACAATGTTATTTGGAAGTTCTAACGAGGTTATGGGAATCTGTTCAGAGAAGAACCGAACTCTGGCCTGACAAGTGGATTCTCCACCATGACAATGCCCCTGCGCATGATGCATTAAGAGTTTGTGAGTACCTGGCTAAGAAATCCATTACAAAAAGTGACCATCCACCTTATTCACCTGACTTAGTCCTCTGCGATTTTTGGCTCTTTTCAAAATTAAAAAAATTGCCTGAAGGGACAAAGATTTTCAGACATTTCTGACATCCAATGCAATGTGACGCTACTGTGAGACATTTTTCAAGACTGTTTCCAGCAGTGACACTATCGTCCCATGAAGTGCATAGCTTCATAAGGAGCTTATTTTGAAGGTGACAGCAGCTGCTAGTGCTCAGGTAAACAAATTTTGCTTTCGCAGGGCCATTCCAGGAATTAAATTGTCACACCTTGTAGATAGTGAGAAAGCCTGTTCTTTCTCCTGAAGTCTGGTATATAACATCTGATGTCATATATTGACAGAAATGATCTGCTAAATGATTAACACTGAAATAATCTCTTTGGCACTGTTGTTTTTAAATCAAGAATGTCAAGCTGATCTAATCGGCTTGTCATGGGCAGAGGGTTCTAGTCAGTTTATCACATACATAGGTTTTAGTGCTCTGTTCTCAAACATCCTCAGTCTAAATTCTTGCCTTTGAGCCAGAAACTGAAATTTCACACCCACACAGAATCACTGGTAAAGTAATATACATTTAAAGGCTCTGAAGTGAATGGTAGGAAACACGTCTGAAATTTAATCTGCTCTTAATTTCTTTATGAATATAATCTTCCATTTATAAATGTGGTTCCTCTAACATATGTAATGAGGTCAACTGAAATAATGGATGAAGAGAATAGCCAGTCATACGAGCAGATAAATGAGTACTGCTTCTGATTAACTTTTTCTTTTTTTCTCTTTCAACAGGTAAGGGGACAAATGTGCAACAAAGGAAATTACAGAGGGGAGTTTAAGGCCCATGTGACACCTCTACTCTGATGAATGCAAAGGTAAAGGAGCAGTGTGTACTAGATTGCTTCAGCAGAAGTGGGGACTGATACAAAAAAGGATTGTTTCAGAATCATTTCAGTCATGAAAACCTGAGGTAGATCAACAGATCAGTACTAACTCTTTACTGTGCTGTCTTATAGGATTTACTTCTAAGTGATTTAGACCCATTTCATCATGTTGTGTTATTTATGTTACTGTTATTACAAAACATGTGTTCAAAATTTAAATTTATTTTCAAAACTGTCTTCTGTATATGTACTGGTATGAAAGCTTCAGGTTGCAGGTTATCTAGCAATGCTTCATTAAAAGCCTAAAGCTTGATCTCCCACTGCACTACAGTGTTTTGCCTCTGAATGATCAGTCAGACTGATTCTGGAGAAATGCTGGCTGTTGGACAGTGGTTTTCCAATTAACTCAGTTTGTTGACTAACAGATTGGAATGTGTAAATATGAAGGATGTGAGGTATGCCTTTTGATTCATGAAGTGAGTGAGAGATCTTATATTACAGCGTTCCGTATATAATGCCTCCTATTTTTTTTAAAGAAAACTACAACAGATACAGAAAGCATAATAATGAAGTTAAATAGAGCAAAATTGCAGCTACTTACAGTTATTTTTCCACATAATCACCACCATTCGTTATGCACTTTTGCCAGCAATTAACAAGAGCCTGTATGCTGCGCCCGTAAAAGTCTGCACCAGCAGAGGCTAGCCACTTTCTTACAGCTGCAATGACAGCATCATTGTCTGGAAAGTGTTGCCCACGTAGTCCATCTTTCTTAGGCCCAAAGAGATGGAAGTCTGAAGGTGCTAAACCAGGGCTACAGTCCAGCCAAACTTCGCAATGTGTGCGGTGGTCGCCAAACTTGTATGGGGTCTAGCGTTATCGTGTTGCAAGCAAAAGGTTGTCTGCTTCTTTGGCCTGACTCGGGAAATGCGGGCTTTCAGCTTAGTCAGCGTCGTTTTGTAGCGTTCAGAATTGACAGTCCCTGGTCATTATCTGCTGATCTGTATGGATGAGGTGCTGTTCATTGTGAGGAGTGGCAGCTGAGCAGGGACGCCCAGGGCGTGGCTTGTCGTGCACTTCAATTTCGCCACTGTTGAAACGCACTACCCACCGCCTCACTGTGCTGACTTCCACTGTATTGTCTCCGTACACCTTTAGCAAGTGTTGAGGGATGTCAGTGGGTACAATTTGTTCGGCAGTGAGAAATTCAATAACACATCTGTGTTTCATATGCACTTCTATGTCAGACACCATTTTGGTAGACTGCTTTGCTGTCACTATCTGTCGCACGACAACCAAACTAACAGTAGATTGGCGGGAAGGTTCAACCTTTACTACAACACCACCAACATCCGTCTCAGACGTTACATATTAACAAAAAAAAAAATAGGCATTATTTATGGAACACCCTAGTACATGTGAATACTCAGTTAATGAAGATGTTGCTAGTGAGAATGGAATATCAGGGCCCAGGACAGCTCAGTAAAGTGTTTGGCTGTGGGCTGGACAGCCGAAGCCTGATTCCTGGCAGAAGCAGTAATTGCTGTATCAGTCACCACACTGAGACTGGATCAAGGTCTAGCTAATAGGAGATGTTGGAGTTTCTTTCCTCAGGCATAAAGCAGTTTGAGGCTGACCATTTGTCTCTATTTAGAGCTGAGGTCTAGAATGTGGAGCTTCTCCTTTTGTCCCCTCTGTGTCTTCTTGGCTAATGATAAGCACAGGTAGCTACTTAGCTGTTGAGCTCTCCAGGATTAAAGGCCCCATGCCAGTGTCGAGTGGGAACCCCATTATTTCATGCTTCTGGTTCAAGAATAGTGTTGTGTCCCAAAGGATAGTGATGGCATGTACTTATAGACCAAGCGGAAGTCCTGTGGTTTAGGATCGTTGTTAACACTTGAGAATTGAAATTCAAATCTTCGGAACTCAGTGTTCAGGTTAAAAGAACAAATGTATTGAATAAAATGGTTGTACAAGGTTATGTAGCCGTTCTTTGGTGCTACTAGCTCCGGCAGAGAAATTCAACTCATCTCAGGCCTTGTTGACTGGCCACGATTTGGGTGATTAGGGGGGCCTTGGGCGTAGGAAAGTCAACCCTCAACATCAATGAGCTGCTTAAGTCTTTGTTCAAATTGCACTATTCAAATGATAACTGCACCATAGTGATCCACTTAACTGATTGGTGGATTTAGGCTCCTTTACTGATTACTAAGACACACTAGTCAATATGTACCACAGAGTGTATATACAGGGACCAGAACATGTGTAACCCCAGTGAATGTAAATTTCAGAGTTCTCTACCAAGCACGCTCTGAACTAGTTAAAGTGGACTTGACGCAGTGATGAACGTAAGTAGGAAGTGACTGAATACAAGTGACCTGAATTGAAATTTGAATCACAAACTTTAAATTTTTTAAACAATTTTAAATTTAAATTTTAACTTGTGACTTTTAGAACAATTTTAACTTGTGTTTTATGAGAGAGCTTGATTTATTGAGCATGACCCTGAATAAGATACAGGATCGAATAAGTGAGAAGACGAATGTGATTGCGTGTAATTATTATACAGCTGTGTTCGTACACCTGAGGATGACCTCTTGAGGTCGAAACATGTAGTGTAATAATAATAAAAATTTGTTGTATGGTCGGTAAAATTGACTCTAATATTGATTAAATACACAACAGGATGCAAGAAACAATTAAAATCTATAGAATTATTTAAGTCATTTAGTGTGTCTTTAGCCTGTGTTCCTTTGGAGAGAAGTAACAGTTCAGATGTTTATGGTATATTTGACCCTGTGCTTAAATATAGATCACATCATGAAGACGTATAGGAGAATGGAAATATAGTAGTTCCATGCGTAAACCTCAGCATTGGAAAGAAAATAGTGAACAGCTTCATGCTTCAGTTGCTTTGTTCCCAGGGAAAGAGCCTCTGGTACCCGTTTTATGTAAGATTTTCTCCATGTGGCATGCATTTGTAAATTTCTGTTTAGAAGTGACATATGTATGTCACTCTTTAGGAGAAGCATAATATGTACTTAAATGAGATCAGAATTACATCTGCACTGAAGGAGAAAAAATGTAAACTTTATGAAATGATCTGGACTGCAACATGAAAACACCGAAACATTCTATCAGATTGCTAATCCAGGAAGTGGAACATTTTTGACACATACCAAAGATTACATAATTGACAGCAATTATCAGTATTTGAAAGTATATTTCATTCAACTGCCACAATGAGATTACTTACAATACAACTTGTTAATATTTATAGTGGTCTCTGTGTATACAAGTGCATTGTAAACTGAAATATAACTGTCTTCCATAGAATGTTGGAAACTGCAAATATATTTTTTATCAGTTGAACTGGAGTAGTTATTGATGTCTTGATGTTAACCCATTCCATTTCAGCTAAGAATTAAGAATGTGGAAAAAGTAAAATTTTGATGCAAGAATAAACTGGACATTATACTTACAATGAAGTCCACAAAAATGTTTAAGGAAATGTCCAAGAAATCTGATATTTATATATTCCAGTGCGATATTGGAGGATCATGTTAACACAAGAAATTAAGCCACTTCACACAGACAGAAAAATCACAATCATATATTTCATGCCCCTGTAATAGAAGAAGAGTATCTTTCTATATGGTTTTTAGCTATAAACACTCTTATCTATCCCGCTAATGTGAGGCCTGTATGCAACCTGAGACAGAATCTCATCACTCTAGTGTGAATGCAGTACCTATCACCTGTAGTTTCCGATTCATCCCCCCTTTTACCTGAAAAGTAAGCCTTTACAGTAAGCTTACTGGCACCCAGCATTCATGTAACCCATATCCCACATCAAATATCCACAACACCAATAAAAAGGGAAGAACTGAACCAGAAGGATGCAGCAGCAACCTGCAAACTCGGAGTAACAACAGGTGACAGGGAACAGCTAGAGGAGCAGCTGCAACCAGCAACAAAGGGGCCAAAAGGATGGTAAGAGAGGAGATGGCGCCAAACGTATAGGCAAATGGCTACACAGAGAAGGTGGAGCCCAACATAAGGGCTGGACAGTTACAACATGAATCATGGGAATGTCTCAAATTCAAATTATTTTCTTCCCGATATTGCTCACATTCAACTATCGCGTCTGCCACATTGTTGCCAGGTATTCACCACAGCACCCTCCTGAAAAAAGAAATTAAAAATTAGCGAGCTTCCTTACATGATGGACTACCATACTTCTTCAGATATGAAAATAACACACGTTACTTTACAAAGTACTGCCATTATGGAAATTTTGTATATCTGATTAAATTATTCCTCATAGCAAAGTCTTTACCACCTTATTCTCTTACAAATCATATTACTGATAGTGTGCTCTGCTTTTCAGACCTTTCTAATTATACTAAAAACATGTGACATATTCTACATAACTTGTATATTGATGTACAGTTTCATAAGTAATGAATGATGATGACGACAATGAGGTTTGTTTGATTACAATTGGGTTCTGGGGACAATTTTGAAATCTAGCTCTCACTATTCTCATTAGCCAGATCTTTCATAACAACATGATTCATAGTAAGTATACAGTGCAGTGGTCCTTACCTGTAATTACTAGAGCATTGTGACTTGCTGCAATGATTGATATACCCAAGTTCCCCATTAGAAGCATTTATATTTACAGAGATTAGGGGAAAGGAGGTTTCTTTCACTGCAGAGGTGTTTGCTGCTGATGGTGATGGTTTCACTGCCAACATTTTAAAGGAAGTGGAAGGACTGTGTGATACAGGGGATGGCACCAATGGGGGATACAACATGAGTACAGTCTTTGTGCGTTATGACTGTGGGCGAGGGATTCAAGGAAGGGACATGAGGTTGTGGGAGTGATTGCGAAACAGAATCTGAGCCATATGGAACTGCCACTGTGTTCAAGTGTACTCTTTCAGGTGTGGTGAAACCACTTTCCAAGAAATGTCTGCTGCACAAATATTTCTTGTGCAGCATTCTAGCAAAATCAATAGTCCAGGATATTGCAACTTTTCTTGCCCATTCCACAGCACTGTAAAAGTACACCAAATTGTCTCAAAACCTCGAAATAATTCATCAGTAACATTACGAACACTGTGCATGCGCTAAATTTTGGGGTTATGATGAATAAATTGAACGCAGACAAGCTAAACTTAATTTCTTCCTTGGATTAAGCAACAGGTAACAAAGCCATTATACCATGAATTAAAACATACATACCATGCTATATATAGATATATATACTATATATAGATCCCCATCCAGTGATTATAAAGTATTTTTGAGTAAACTGGAATTAATTCTACAAAATTTGTATAAAAAAAGGATAATGTTATTGTTTGTGGGGATTTTAATGTGAATTATTTAGAAAACTCTCATAAGAAAACTAGACTTGAAGATATTTTTAGCTCCTTCAATCTTAGAAGCGTTATTACCTTTCCTACTAGAATAGGACCAAATTCATCCACAATTATTGATAATATATTTATTGATGAACAACATATTACTGACTATGAAGTTCTCTCTATCTCTAATGGATTATCAGA